GCTACTGCTCAAGCAAATTGTTATTTCTGTAAATTATCCATTCGAAAATAAACAAAAAAAAAAAAACTTGAATAAATGCTTAGTACACAGCTATATTTTTTCATTCATCATGTCGCAGTTGTTGAGAGTCAATAGCACTACTCATATATTTTCATTTCGTCCTTCAACACCGATAGTGTTGGATCCGAAAAAAGATTATGAATTGGCGCTTAGGTCTTTTACTTCATACAATTCCATACCGAATATTGAAAAAGGAGATAAATTTTATTATATCGACCGGATAGGTGGTGGTGGTGGTCAATTAAAAGTCATCGAGTTTCCGACAGGTTGTTATGAAATTACCGACATAGAAACATTTATACGAACGCAAATGAATCTTGAAAATGAAGTTGCTCCTCCGGATGATTATTTTTCTCTAAAACCTAACAATAATACACTGCAATGTGAAATCTTTAGCAAGTATTATAAAATAGTTTTTACAGAACCGAATAATCTTGGACATCTATTGGGATTCTCGAAAAAAGTTCTTAATCCTGGTCAAAAGCATTCTTCTGATTTACCTGTAAACATAATAAAAGTATCAACCATACACTTTGATGCTAACATTACGTCGGGAGCCTTTGACGGAGACACGCCTGCACACACGATCTACGAATTTGCTGTGACAGCCGATCCTGGATACGCTATAGTCGAAACACCTGTAAATTTACTATATCTACCTGTTATACCGAAACAAGAAATAACCAACATCACAGTGTTGGCTTTAGATCAAGACGGTCGTCCTGTAAACTTTCAAGGTGAAACTAGTACTCTTGTGTTGGAGTTGAGAGCGAAGCGCAGATGGGATTAGTGATTATAAGACCTAGTGGTGCTTCCAAGGCAACTTCAGTATTACCCCAAGCACCTAAGCGACGACATCTACTACTAACTACATCAAATATCCTGTTTCTACGCTCACTTGGATATCATGTCAACAACAACAAGAATCATGTACAAAACGAGAAAAACTGAGGAGGCAGCAGCAGCAGCATCACATACTTCTCCGATGTTTGATCTATATCGATCTCCAGCATTCGATGAATCTATTCGCAAGGCTGAGTATAGATCTTATACGCCGTTCATCAAGTCATTTAATTGTAATGATGTTGTGGAATTTAGCATCAATCAAGTAGATTCGTTCTTTGCAATGAACGCTTCCCTTCTATCTATCAAAGGAAAAGTTGAAATAACTGGAGGAGGAGGAGCAGGAGATGTATCTTTAGCTCCAAACTTTGGTGCCTTCCTATTTGACTCTTGCACTTACAGTGAATCCGCTAGAGAAGTTGAAACAGTACGTGATCCTGGTATTGTAAGTACTGTCCGAGCTTACGTATGTTACAGTGAGGAAGACTCAAATCATATGGCTATAGCTGGATGGAACTATCCTTCAACACCTATAATGGCGTCAACACATAACAAGTCTTTTAGCTTGCTAATGCCGCTTAAACATATTTTCAACATTTTCAATGATTATCCTATGATTACGTGTGGCAGACAAACTCTCAGATTTGTGAGAGCTAGAAACGATAACGATTGTATCATTATCAAGGAAAAAACTGGAACGACGACGACAGCGAAAATAACTATTGAAAACATGGAACTGAAAATCAAACATATTTACCCGAGTGATGATGTGAAAGAACAACTTTTGAAAGCTATTCAAACTGATAAGCCGATACTTATACCGTTTAGAAAATGGGATCTGAATGAACTGCCTGCAATTACCGCAGATGCGAGAAGAGAAATATGGTCAGTTAAAACTAGCACCGCAATCGAAAGACCACGTTTCATTATAGTATGTTTCCAAACCGGTAAACGTGACGTCGCAACCTCAGACCCTACCCTGTTTGATCACGTGAATGCTGCTAGTATTCGAGTATCTTTAAATGGTGAATACTATCCCAACGAACGTATGCAATTGGACTTTGCAAACAATCACTTTACTGAAGCTCATTTCAACTATAGCGACTTTCAAACCAGCTATACAACTTCTTCTTCTCCTCTGAAGAGATGTCTTTTAGATTATACCGCTTTTAAAAATCGCGCTTTGTTTGTTATTGACTGTTCCAAACAAGAGGAAACCATGAAATCATCAACTGTTGATGTTAGATTGGATATCGAAGCCGATACTGGCTTTCCAACCAACACCAAGGCCTACTGCATCATTATACATGACTGCTTAATCGAGTACTTCCCCCTCACCGAAGTTATTAAAACCATCTCGTAAGCAACGAAGGACTCTCAGTTCCGCATCAGACATCATGAGGATCGCGTTTGTTGACATTCAAGGCTTTACAGTTGACGGATTATTCGTACCTAAAGAACTATGTATCGAAATTGGTTTCAAGAAAAGTCATTACATCTTTACACCTCCGCAACCTTTTTCTACATTAAATACTAAAGACAAGAAAACTGTCGCTTACTTGGAGAAGAATTTCCATGGGCTTAAATATTCTTCCGGCGACGTTAAATATTCCAAGTTAAATGAAATAATTAAAAATAAGGTGATATATGCGGCTGACTATGTCTACGTTCGTGGAGAACAGAAAGCAAACTTTTTACTCAAGAAATGTCACATTTTTGGTGTTTTTCCCAACATTATTGATGTTTGCAAGTATGATGGTACACCGTGTGCTACTGGAAACTTTGTTGCTGATTCCAATCCATGCCACACCAACGGACAATTTTCCTGTACCCAGAGAAATGTTGAACGTCTACGCCACTGGTTTTCAAATATCATATTACCTATGTAGTTTTTTCTATTTTCAATAAAATATTAAACGTATTATTGTAGTTTTATTGAAAATACCTCTGGTTTGCGAAATAATTGTCAGAATGTCTATACTATTTTCATTTTGAACGGTATCATCCTGTATAATAATAACAGTACATCGTATACAGGTTATGAGACATTCTGACCGACCGACCGACCGACCAGAGGAGCCCACCACGCTATTTAGGTCACGCCTTGCTATATACGATTTAACGATATACCGTCGGTCCATCGATCCGCTATTTTTCGTTGCACCCCTGTATACACGTTGCCCCCCGTAATCCACGCCAACACCAGACAGATGCGGCATCGGCGCCATCTATGCGCGAGATGCCCAACCCATCAATGGCAGCTGTCCAATGACACATAGATTCCGTTTGGTTTGTACAGCGCCAAACAAATCGGCGCCATCTATGCGCGAGATGCCCAACCCATCAATGACAGGTGTCCAATGACGTATGACAGATGACGTTTTAACGCCATCTATGCGTGAGATGCCCAATGACGCATGACAGGTGTCCAATGACACACAGATTCCGTTTGGTTTGACAGCGCCATCTAGCGGCGGAATCCCCAACTCATGATTACAGATTCCGTCCAACAACCTGTCAATGGCGCGCGACGCCAGCGCCTCTGGTGGCGGATTTTGGAAGTTTTGAGACCGAATCCCCATAAGACATCTACTGAGAGAAAAGGTTTTTGTAGGCAAACCAGGTGATTTATGAAGGATTTCTTGATTTAATATAGGTATTAGAGGCCTCTCTTACATATCACAAATTTCTAATATATTCCGTAAAATATAGGAAAATTTTCAAGTTCAATAATTTTCTTTCACACAAAATATGTTTTCTGGTGCGCCACTAACATCATAATTTTCATATAAGCTACACATTGCCAAAACAAAACTAATTCAGCATCTTCGGAAATATGCAATTTTTCGAACGCCCCTCGTATGTACGTCGGGTATAATTTTACACTTCACATTCTTTCATGACATACATCTGCCACTTGTCTGCCACGTCACATTTCCGGGTCATTCTCCTTCATCACGTGCAACAGGTATACGCCGGTGATAAATTAAATTTCTGTCTCCAAAATGTAGTTTTAGTTTTTAATAACTTGATTACTCTTTTCATGTTTTAAACCGTTTATTGACAAATGTATGTAACGCATAGCTATGTGTTAAGAACAAACCCAATGTGTTCGGTCTTTTGTTTTTATAATCGTAACAAGTGGTCCCATCCACGTTTCCATTCTAAAATACCATTTAGCAGCAACCTCATCGATGAGTAGGTAATTGGAAATTTAAATTTGTTCTAAATTGGTTGCTACTTTCATATTTGTGTTTTAGCTCCTGAGGATCACAACATAGTTTGTCGAAAGCTCAAGATTTCAGTCAATAGGGTTATGAGTCCTCAGAGTATAATAAATTTGTGCTTGTAAAATCATGGCATTGCAATACCCCTCCCCTGCTTTTCGAATATTTGGGTCCCCATGCCAACTTTGTGCTTCGGGCTTCAAACATCTTAGATCCGCCACTGTCATGTTCATTGGTTCCATTACTCCAAAAATGCTATCCGATTGGTTGGATTTGCTCCCTAGGAGCACATTTTGATCTACGGAAATGGGGCCTTAGAGTTGATCACAATCGTTACGATCTGACATATCAGCAGTGGTAGATTACTCTTTGCTTTAGTCCAGAAAAAGTGTATTTTGATTACGGCGCCCTAAAAGAGATGTAAAAGACCTTGGCGTTATCTAGCAGAACACAAAAATGATTTTAGAAACGTGACTTGAATGCATTAGATTGTTTGGTCTGGTTCTTCAATCTTTTTGGCGCCTCTGTAACGCCTATTTTAATTGGATATCTTCAGGCTTTGATTAACGCGTTCTTCCTTAAGACAAACCAATTAAAATAGGCATTAGAGAGGTAGCAAGAAAGATCAAGATCCTAGCGCCATCTATGAGACGATAACAGAACCAACCCCTTTTTGAAAGTAAGTTTCAGAGTTCATCTTTGTGCTTTTATACTATCTTACGAATCGCGCTAGGATCTTCTAGATACCTTTTCGGGTGCTTAAGTACAGTATCTATATGCTTGACTATTTTTAGGTATAGCATAGGTTAATCAATGGTATTAGGCATTACGAAATGTTATATCAAATATTAAATAAGTAGCAATACTTACTTTTTGATAGGTGTGTTGTGTTCTTCGTTGATGAGTTATGGTGGTTGCGGTACCACACGAGGCTGATAATCTTGAGACCTTACTAGCAAAAATAAGAAAATTGTCAATGTTGATGTCAATAGAAGAACATTGAAAACGGTGTTGCCGTTATTAGTTCAATGCACGCCAGCTCGACACAAATGGAATGAAAAGCAGGGAAGCTCAGTGTCTCCGTTTGGAATACCTGCAGCTCGGCCGCATCACGTAGGAAAGCTAAGAAGAGCAAAGTATGTCGGCAGAGGCGAGCCAGTACCCACTCGACTATGTGAAATTTGCTTGAGACCGTCTATCAAGGAAGTATCATCGATACGTCCGATAGCTCCTTCCTCTCAACAGCATCCAGTATGGACGGTGTAGTCGAAGCAGCAGTATCCCAGAAATGAGGAAAACTTTCCAGGACGGATCTTACCTGGTCTTGTACAGAATGAGATTCGATCACCTGAAATACTTCCTAGCTCTATTCGCCGAGAGTGAACTGCTCAGCTGTATTATGAATTATGAAAATAGCGGTAAGGACAGTAAATGTAAAATCTATGGAGTTAACTCAGCCGGTCTTATGGTGAGGCTCATGTCGTTGCTCTTGACATCACGAAAGCGTTCGATCAGCTGTTGCACGCTGCCCTCTTAAGCAAACTTCCATTCTACGGCCTCCCAGAAAAGCTTTGCAGATGGGTGGCTCACTGACTTTATCTGTGGCCGCAAGATATGTGTCGTAATTGACGGGTTCTCTTCTTCATCCCACAACGTCAACGCGGGTGTCCCCAGGAATCGGTCTTGGCTCTGACACTGCTCCTCTTACATATCAACGACCTCCTTTCTTGCATGATCAACCCAATCCACAGCTTCGCTGATGACAGCACTTTACATGCAGGAATTCAGAGTGACAAGCCTATCTCTGCCGCTGGGGACGCAACAATGTTGTACAGTTTAACATTTCTAAAACACAGTACTGTACCTTGACGAATGAAGAGCGTCCTAGCGCTCATCCGGTTTCGATGGATGGCCGCGTCCAGATCACCAAGGACCTGATCTGGCACGAACACATCTCGTCAATAGCGGCAGCTGCTGGGAAAAAGCTAGGCTGTTTGTTTAAGGCTAAGAAGTACTTTTCTCCGCATTATCTTCTCACTCTATACAAGGCCCAGATAAGGCCCAGCCTAGAGTACTGCTCACACGTTTGGGGTTCCGCCGCCCCGACTACATCAATTTATGCTCTATGCTGTCCAGAGGAGGGCTGTCCGACTGATCGATCAGTCTTCTGTATTAGACAGTATCGGGACCCTTTCGCACCGGCGGGCCGTCGGCGATCTAGCTCCCTTTTACTGCTACACCAACAGGCTTTGCTGATGTCGCCACGCGATGTGCCTGCCCGACAGATTCGCCTGACTTTGGCCTCCCATCCTAACCGTGTCGAACTTCGCACATCTAGAACTGAACGATCGACGATACGACCGCTCCTTTGTCCCGAGGGTGTCGAGATTGTGGAACAATCTACAAGAGGAAGCTTTTCCCAGTTCTACTAACGTTAATCAGTTCAAAAATCGAATTAACAAAATTTCTTTATCATCATCATAGCAGCCGCGGTGTCCCGACATTTAGACTTCTGCCTGCGCGGCTTCTTCGGTATAACAAAAAAACAAAAAAAAAGGTGCAGACTATATAGTTATAGGTGGTGATCTCAATATAGATGCCAGCAAAGACCACTTTTCTAGTAGATTACCCGTAGATATCTTAGACTCTTTTGATTTACGTTCTTGCACCACCACTGAATATACAAGAGTATTTACTAATATCTTAGGTATCACTTCTCGCAGTGCTATCGATTACATTATTACAAATTTATCAGTTGATTCAACTATGTGCAAAATTTTCAATCCAGTTTAATCCGACCATTTTGAGCAAGTGCTGAAAATAGTGTATACACCTCGTACTAAAAATGAGAAAAAAAGAAAAGTTGTTGTTAATACACGGATGGATCTAAATAGCACTAGTATTGAATACTTTACACATTTATTAAGAACAGCCGATTGGTCAACTGTATATACACATATTTCAGATATAAATAATGCATTCAAGTACTTTATTGAATGCTTACAGCGGTGTTTGGATTCAGCTTGCCCTGAAAGACATATTTCAAGAGTGATATGAACAGAGTAAAAGGACAGAGGTTGTGCCAATGAAACTATAAGATCTCAAGGAAAACTTATAAGAAATTTGTATCAATTCATGATCGATATTGGGTCATCAGAGATAAAAGTGCTTTATTTAGAAGAAAAAAGAAATTGCCGCAGAAATATTCAAAACACAAAAAGTCATTATTACTCGGAAAACATTTGTAATGCAGACAATACAGTAAATCAGACGTGGAAACTAATGAATATAAAACTTGGCAGATCATCTTCTAAAAAAAAACAAGGATATATGTAGAATGAAAGACTCACAGGGATATCTAATAACAACTGAACAAGAAATTTGAAAATTCTTTGCGCTCAACTTCTCTACCTGTCTCTCTCAGAAAATCGAGTCACACTTTGGCCAGAACTTATCACTTTCCTGTATCATTTCATCTTACAGACAAAATTCTATTTTTATTTTACCAAGCACCTTAAACGAGCTACAAAATATTTTAAACAAAATTAGAAACAAAAAGTCTACTGACTTTGATAATATTACTTTACATCTTTTAAATGAAATGAAATTCTTAGTTGTATTGGTGATACTTTGTATTTAATAAATCTGTTGAGAGTGGTTGTTTTCCTAAAATCTTAAAACTTGCAGAGATTAGACCTATATTTAAAAAAGGTGAACATGCTAACGTTGAGAACTGTCGTCAATATTCATTATTGAGCAATATATCTAAACTACCAGAAAATGTCATCTATCACGGATTATACGATTTTGCTGACCAATCTCATATCCTGAATGTATGCCAACAAGGATTAAGAGCTGAGAGATCCATCGAAACTGCAAGCTGTCATTTGCTTGAATGTTTATAGCAGAATTAACGAAGGTGAATATGTAGTATCTTTACTTCTTGATCTAAAGTTAAAGTTGGAAGTACAACATCTGATATATATCCTGTTGAACATGGTGTCCCTCAGGGATCTGTACTGGGACCACTGCTGTTCAATTTACACGTCAGTGATTTGCCCAGTCATATCACTGAGGTATATATAACCATGTTTGCAGATGATGTCACTAAAACATGTCCTGCTACCAGTTTGATATTTTAACCCATGTATTCGGCGAATATATGATAACGCAATCCATAACTATGTATAACTGTATCTGCAAAAATGTCATCATCTTCACTCCAAAATTCTAAGTGTACTCGATGAATTCTCTGCTTGGTGTCAAAGAAGTAGGTTAATCTTACATTGTAATAAAACTGTTGTTATCAATTTTAACATCCAACGTACAGTTGACTTAGACTTGCATACGTAGGATCTTATTTTATCAGATTCTTGTGAATTACTTGGTACACATTACGATTGTAAACTAAATTTTCATGAACATATAGATCACGTGTGTAAAAAATAAGTAAAACATATTTTGTCATTTTACAACTTAAAAATGTCGTAAATGAAAAGCTATTATCAATGTATATTATGGGCTGACTTATAGCCATATTGTCTTATAACATTATGACAAGGGGGAAATCTTCCGAAAAGTATCTGTTGCCCAAAAAAGCCACTTGACTCCTGCAGAGAAATTTTTAAATCATGAGAAATTCTTACATTACACTGTATTTACTTTTTAAAATGTTTAACTTACGTTAAAAAGTTTAATAACCTGTTCCCAAATATTAATGCTCTCCATAATTATAATAGGGTCCGTCAAAAAGAACGCATGTTTTTCGAATGGGTAGAGTGAGCTAGTCCCGTGTCGGTGGGGAAGGGCGTGTTGGATAGTGGGAGAAGTGCCGTTTCAGTTGGTGGTTCCAGCAAGACGGGGCACCATCTCACACAGCTTGCACTTCGATGGAACTTCTTCGGCAAAAACTCCCAGGACGTTTCATTTCACGTCATGGCGATATTCCATGGCCCCTCGCTCCCCGGACCTGGCAACGTGTGATTTTTTTATGGGGCTACCTGAAATCAAAAGTTTACCAAAGCAAGCATCGAACTCTCGTCGATTTGAAGGAGGAAATAAGAAGAGAAGTAACCCAATGTCCTGCACGGATGCTAGCCGACGCAATGGGCTCATTTGGGGAGAGGCTTGATTCCTGCATTTCGGCTCAAGGGCGCCATATGGTCGACTTAGTTTTTAGAACGTAAATTTTACTCAAAAAAATTGAATTGTATTTCTGAGTATTTTGATATAATAAAATATTTTTTGGCATACTTATTTTGACTGTACTGCTCATTTAAAAAACATGCGTTCTTTCTGACGGACCCTGTACTAGGAATCAAAATTTAAGGATCCAGGAATCCAGGTCCGATTAATAGATTTTTGTTATTCTGAGCGTATATACCTAACATTTTTTTGAATTACATTTTCTATGTATACGACAAACCCTACAAAAAGGCTCCTGTAAACTTATGTATTTTATTGCGTCGGTTCTGAAGCACAGTGTGTTCAAGTTCACTTCTTTGATTTATTTTTAATTTCTTGATTACTTCAGTGATTTAGATGAAACTCATGGTGGACATTAAGTGCCATATCGCCAGTCGTTCCTATATGGTCTCCTTGGTTTTCATAGTTTTCTACTGTTCGGTGTCAGCGCTCTATTTTGAGGTTATGTTACAAATATATATTTTCATCAAATTGTTTATTTTTTATACTCCAACTGCCACGAAGGGCTAAGGTCTAAACACCCATTGGGCACCGTGCCGCTATAGGGGGATATAGGGTATGTTTTTGATCTATATAAGCTGTTATATCAGTCTGAAATTTCCCACAATTCAAAAAGAAAACGTAGGCCTCACAGCAGGAGAGTGCTGACGCTGACACGGAACAGTAGACATTTAGAAATACCCGAGCTTTTCTGAAGGAGAAGCAGTTTGAGATTAGAAAGAACTTCATTCATACTTTTCTCTTTTGTTACTAAACTAAAACGCTATATTCAGGGTACGGCCCTAAGAGTTAAATAGCTGACATACAGTTTTTGATAACCTTTGTCTCAATATGAAATTTGAAAATCACAGTTTTTTCAGTATATGAGTATAGTATAAATCTCAAAGGTCCATTCAGCAGACCCAGGTTCCGAGATTTCAATCTAAGATAACCATGTGATATCGTCTAGATACTTCATCAGAGTGTGTTGCAGAGGACCTTTTCCAGATTAATCGCAGAGGTCGATCTGGCACTATAATTACCTACACGCAAGATGCTGTTGGCAGCAAAACTATGTATGAAGGAAGTTGTTAAAGTGTAACGGTGACGGTATTGGCTGATCATGTTGAGATTGTGGGACAAAGTGGAGGATCAGTTACTACGGAGACTTTAACACCGAAAGTAAATACATTCATAACATACATCTGCAAAGATTCTCTGGAGGACAAAGGAAATAACTGAATAAGCTGCAAGCAGTTCAAGGACGTGAAAAAAATAAACCGTATTTTACAAAGAATACTGACGTTACCTGTAGAACTGCGTTTTCACGTACTTGTAGTTTTCTGATTGTATTCCATTGAATTTAGCGAAGAGATCGAAACAACCGGAAACATGACTGGCTATAGCACCTCCGGTCATAATGACCGGATAGCGGTCAGCTGCTGGTAAGTGCTGGCCACCTTAGGTCTTTATCCCACTACATTTATCCGTTTCTCACTTGAATTTGGCACGAGTCTGAAGCAGCTGAGCTATTTCTCCTGTTAGCTGACATATAAATGACGAGGTCACACGTCACAGTGACGTATGCAAGATGGGTTGATTAATAGAACAATTTTCCCCCTGAAGGGAAGAAAATTGATATTTCGGGTCTTGCCATAGGCCTGACCGTTGAGATTACGTTCCCTATCTACAGCTCCGGAGTCAGTATGTGTGCGTCTCTAGTCCCCCTTACCTTCGTCCTCCTCCCCTTTCTGTACGCCCATGCTCCTTGGAGCGATGCGCGCGCTGGCTAGTGGCGAGCGATTCCCCGCTCGCCCTTCAGTACTCTTGCGCCGGCAAGGCGTTACCTAGGTCAGGCCTATGGCAAGACCCGAAATATCAATTTTCTTCCCTTCAGGGGGAAAATTGTTCTATTTCGGCTCTGTGCCTACGGCCTGACCGTTGAGAAGTGTTTACAATCTGCCGGCGCGCCACGGTGTTAGAAAGCGTACTGTGACATGGTTATAGTATGATAACTCTAACAGTTCATAAAAAGAAAAGTAACAGTCATTCTTGGCTCACAGCCATGATAATACTTATATAGGGACAAATTTATCCGAAATAAGTCTTCTGTTGCTGTTGTCAGGTACCAAATCCTTATCGATATTTTTATAGTAGTGTTTGAAGAAATTGCTTGATCCCTGCCAATTTCCTTTCTGCAAAACCTCATCCAATGGCATGTTATCATTGAAGCGGGATGATGCCACTGCCGAGCGGGTACTGCCGGCTCCTCCTTCTATACCTGCCGATTTCAACGCTGTGCGGACCCATCCTGCTATCACTGACCGAGATGCCGGTCCTATCTTCCCACGAGTTGTGACGAATAGTTGAGGAATCGGTCGACAGTGGAGGTTCCTTCTCTTTTCTGATATTTCTAGATATATGGTTGTCCAGTGTACTAGATCCCAGATGCATTCTCGATTTTTGAGGAGTTTCCAGCCTGACTGGACGTAGTTATGCTTGTCTGTCTTAGATCCATGTTGTGGCCAGAAAATTATGTATTCTTCGGTTTGTTCAAAGAAACCAGAATCTATTCGAAGGAGTGTCAAGTCATGGACTCTCCTTCCCGATGATAGCAGCAAAAGCAGCGATAGATGCCGGGCCACTTGAAAGATACTATTCGTATCTGGATGGTTATCATTAATCCAAGATAGAAGTTTATCGATGTTCCAAATCTTTGGCCTAGTTGCTGGAGGATTTGCATTTGCAATACCTCTAATTACCTGTTTCACTGTTGGGCTACTGGAAACTCCTTCACTATGTAGTGGATTGGAGAATGTCGCAATGGTGGATTTATGTAATAGGATCGTTCTAAGCGCCAATTTTCTTGTGTTGTGCAGGAAGCAGAGGTATTGAGCCACCTGCGTGGGGTTTGGATTTTTAACTGAAACTCTTCTTTTCTTCGCCCACGATTGCCAACTTTTCCATGCAACGGCATACGTTTTGAGAGTTGACTTGCGCCAGGATGTTTCTAAGATTCTCCTTTCATCCTTTGACCAGTGATTCGCTATATCGGACCACCCCGTATCTTCCATGCCTCCAGGTGTAAATCCATTACCTTTGGAGGAGGCTGGTTGGTTTGAAGATCTTCCAGGTGAGCCTTCAGATTCCGAATGGTGAACGGGTGGTCGATGGCACGTCTCTTCAGCAGGGGCCGCCAGAACACCCTTTCCCACCTGGGGACTATCATTATGAAAACTCCCTGACAATAGTTGAGGTGTTGGAGAACTCTTGGTATTAGGGGTGGAGGAGGGAATATCCACGCTAGCTTGTACTCCCACGTTCTTGTAAATGCGTTGACGAATTCTGCCTCCTTGCATGGGAATTGCGTTACAAATCTTGTAACGACGGCTGATTCTGGAGTCGCAAATAGGTCGATGCAAGGGGTTCCCCACTTTTCGAAGATCCTCTTCTGAGCTATCCTTGATAAGTGCCAGTCTGGCAGATCCTTTCCTCTGGATAGGTGGTCGGTCACAATATTGTAGTTTCCTGGAATATGTTCTATTCTCAGAGACATACTGTATTGATGTGCCAGCTCCAGGATCTTCCTGGTCAATGCCAAAAGCGTGACCGACTTGGTTCCTCCTTGATTTCTCAAGTAGGAAACCACCGTCCTGTTGTCCGTCTGAATTAACAGTGTTTTGTTTGCCAATCGATCTAGGTGGTTTCTTAGCGCTAAGTAGATCACGAACATTTCTTTTTTGTTGATATGCCACTTTTCCTGCTGCTCTGTCCAGTTTCCTTTCCTCAAAGTGTCTCCTACTTGGGCTCCCCAGCCCGTGTTTGAGGCATCGGTTATTATATGAACTTCCGGTTCTTTCATGCAGATTATGGATGACCCTTTTAAGTTTTTCTCCCACCATCTTAGCTCTCGCAATACGTCCAGGTCTATATTGAACAGTTTCATTGGTTGGTTTTCTGACATCCGATTGACTGCTCTTTGTATCTTTCTGCAATGTAGTCGACCCAATGGGATAACAAACGAGGCAAATTCCATTCTCCCTAGCAGTGCCTTTACCTGCTTCCAGCTCCAAGTCTTGCTCTTGATTCCAGCTTGGATTGATGTTTGCAGACGGTGGATTTTGTCCTCCGGTAAACTCTTTTGATTTCTTATGGTGTTCCACATAATACCTAGATATGCCAATTTCTGTGTAGGTCTTATTTCGGACTTCTCCAGGTTGATGCAGAAACCCAGCTTTATGAGAGTATCTATCAGGGTGGATACCTCTCGCTTTAGTTCTTCTGGATTCTGGTTTGCGATCAAAAAATCGTCCAAATAGACCATTACTCGAATGTTTTGTTTCCTCAAGTAGCTCGCCACCCAGTTCGTAACTTTTGCAAACACCTGTGGAGCGGAGCTTAGGCCAAATGGTAGTGCTGTCATAGCGTAGATGTTTTGCCGGTAATAAAGTCCCAGATAACTCCAATGCTTTTGCTTTATTGGCAAATGGAAATATGCTTGAGAAAGGTCGACTTTTACCATATAATCTCTTTCCTGGAGAAATAATGGCAGTTTGCGATGGTTCATAAGGCGGAACTTCTTGGGCGTGATGAAGCTGTTCAATCTTTTTAGATTGAACACTGGTCTCCACAAGCCCCCCGATTTCGGCGTCAAAAACATCTTTGATAAGAAACCTGTTTTTGTTTGCAGTTTTACTACCACCTTTTGATTTATGAGGTTTTGTATTTCTCGATCCATTTGTGTGGATGCTGGTGTCTCGAATTTGTTTAGTATCGGTTGGGATAGTACTGTTATTGGTGGCTTTATTGAGAAAGGGATCACGTAGCCTTTCAGGATACTGAGAATCGATTGTGAGGCTCCCATACTTTTCCAAGCAGAGACATATTTGGCGAGTTGTCCTGCCTGAAAACTGTCAAAAACTCCGCCTTTTATCTAAAGGTGGTTGCTCCTTACGAGCTAGCTTGGTATGACTTTTCGCCCCCGGCTTACGCGAATGCTTAAACTCTGCCTTCTTCATTTTTTTAAATGAACCTTGACGCAGATACTTTTCATGAGAAGTTCCTTGAGGCACCTTCTGTCTCAGTGCGACTTTTCCCAAATTACTCTGCCAGCGGACAGGAGCAATTTTCGTCACTCCATGCATTTTAACCACATCTTTCAGCTGCTCTTCATCCCACAAGTGCGTACCTGACGGAGGAATCTCATTGACGATGGACCTATAGTAACTACTTTTAGGCCCGTATAGTTTCCTGCGACTTTCGATGATTTCCGCCCTTTTTCCGCAAACGAACTGCAGCAGGTCGTCCGAGATGGTCTTGTATTCACTGTTAGCAGCAAAAACTTTTTTCAAAGTGTCTGCCGCTTCCGGGTGTTTGTTCCCCGCCTCCTTCAGAGCCTCATGTATGATTCTCCGTTGCTTCAGTAGACCGTGTGAGATAGTCCCGAAGGCCAGGTCACTTTTGGATAACATATCTGTCATTGGGCTTGCATGTCCATTGTTGTACAAGGATGAGTTAACCTTCAGAGTACTGAAGACTGGTGATGCGTGGAGTTTTTTTTTTTTCTGAGCGTCCACGTAACGAATCTTGTTCCATGTCTCTTCCCCGAAACGCTGGCATTTCATGCCCTGTGTCTCGATTACTGGATCCGCCCTAGGGACTGTAGGCTCGATTTCCCTAGTGACAGGGGAAAACGTGTCCCAGTCGTTTACGCTGCCACATGTGCCAATACTGTCGGCGTCATACAGCTCTTCACCTGTAGGAGTTGGAGCTTGCCACGCCGAATTCATGACGCTGCCATCGTTCTCTTTATTTCCTGAGACCAAGTGGTAAAGATTCTCGACCATGCTTTCCACGCGGCGTAGCCTTGTCTCATTGACATCCTCCTCCGAGCTCGAAGACAATACTCGCCGCCTCCTCTTCATTGGTTTCTCGGTTCTGACCGGGTACTCGTCGTCTGAGCTGGACGATTGACACCGTCTCCTTTTACTTCGGGACGTATAATTAGACTCCCCGTCCGTTGAAAGGGCCTCCGACGTCAGCTTTCTGGAACGCATAGTATGTTTAAGTGGTTCCACCGCCTTATTAAAGAGCTCCGCTTGAGCCATAGATCCTCGTAACTGACACGCTACCTGCCGTGGGCTCATGATCAATGCTCTACAGAGGTTCCAGTCGAGAAGCCTCAATTTTATATTTCGGTAGGTTTTCTCTCCCACCGATGTTGCTTCTGGGTAGAATGCTTTCACCAGTTCCAATGTGGGGAGGGCGAAGCGAATTTTGTTCAATACTTTGTGGTCTATCTTTTTCCCAAATAGATCTTCTTTCTTCCAGTCAATCACCTTCCAGTCTCTCCAGCCGTCTGGCAGATGGTTCTCTATTAAGACCTTGATTCTGGAAAATATCGCTTCATCTTCTTCCTCCATTTCAACGTGGCTGGACCAGAGTTCACCCAGAGTAACAAAATTGGTTGCCATCGCCATCTGGAAGCAGATGTGCTATAATTAGTTAGTCGGTCGGGCCAAAAATGCAGCCGGTCGGGCCGAAATCTGCAGCCGTTCGGGCCAAATTCTGCAGCCGG